AATATTTGGCAAGTACAATTTGCATTTACTTTGTAAATAGTTTTCAGACAAAGTTTCAAAGATTTTCAATTATACTTAAAAAATTTACAAAAAAATTAAAATTTATTGTTTACTTGTGCAAATATTTGGCAAGTACAATTTGCATTTACTTTGGAAATAGTTTTCAGACAAAGTTTCAAAGATTTTCTATTTTCACTGCTTAAATCGATAAATTTTTAAATGATCTCAATGTTTACAATTTTTTTGGAGAATAAATTTTAATATTTAATTGTAATTTCCACTGAAAACGTAAACGTATTTAATGTAAATTTGGTGGACTAACATAAAATTTCTTTAAGAAAAATCCTCTTTACTTACTTTGTAAATAGTTTTCAGATAAAGTTTCAAAGATTTTCAATTATACTTAAAAAATTTACAAAAAAAAATAAATTTATTGTTTACTTGTACAAATGTTTGGCAAGTACAATTTGCATTTACTTTGTAAATAGTTTTCAGACAAAGTTTCAATTATACTTAAAAAATTTACAAAAAAAATAAAATTTATTGTTTACTTGTGCAAATATTTAGCAAGTACAATTTGCATTTACTTTATAATAGTTTTCAGACAAAGTTTCAACGACTTTCAATTATACTTAAAAAAATTTACAAAAAAAAATAAAATTTGTTATTTACTTGTACAAATATTTGGCAAGTACAATTTGCATTTACTTTGTAAATAGTTTTCAGACAAAGTTTCAAAGATTTTCAATCATACTTAAAAATTTTTCAAAATATTAAATTTATTGTTTACTTGTACAAATATTTGGCAAGTACTTGTACATTGTGATTGACCAAGTAACTTGCATATACAAGTACTATTAAAGATTTTGGATATCTATTAATGATTAGATTAATCCATGAGAATTGAATAGAAGAGAGATTGCATCAAAAGGGATCGTAATTGGATGATCTCTTCAAATGCGCTTTGATCTTGCTAATTGTTACTTCGAAACTAATCTGCAAGTATGAATGCGGAATCAGTTAGTTTTGGTGGGAAGGTAAACACGAAGTAGGATAGAGAGGGAGGAGGGTTGAGAACTATATAGATAAAGTAAAGTTTGGTGGCTATGAGTGAGGATTAGGATGAGCACGAGGAGGCGGGTGTTGTTTTGCTTTTGTTTGTGGGGGCGCGTTCGGGGGCGGCGAAGTGTGCGTGTCAGTTTAGGTGGCGGCGCCTCGGGGCCGCGACGTCACACGGCCGGGCGCCTCAGAGACGCCGCTCCCGTCGGATTATTACTGCCGCTACAACACCTCGACAAACCTAAGCCGCCTCCATCGCATTCTCTCAAATTTCTTTCTTTTTTTTTTCCTAATTCATTTGTTTTCTTTTGCAGATTCAATTGTTCAGGTGACACCTCCGAACCTGCTGAGCCTAGGCTCGTACCTGGGGGGAGGACATGTGCCTGGAGGTGGAGGTGGTGGAGGCGGCATTGCCAAACCTGTCGCCAGTCGGCCGCCCCATTTCAACCCACATCTGCTGCTCGCCCACTGCCGGCCGCAGCCCTATCTCACAGGTACAGGACTAATACTAATTTCTGCAACTGCAGACTAATATTATCACCATAATTTTGACATTCCCAAATTAATGCCCGGGAAAACCGCAGAAACTGCACATCATCAGCATCCATTAACGCAAACTACATAAACTATATACGCAGAATATTCGCGTTCATCAAACTTACCCTGAAAACAAAGGAAACAGAAATATTAACATCAGAATTAAGTTAATGAAAGAACTGAAATTTTCTTAAAAAAAAAAAGACACCAATTTGTCATTGATAATCAAGGCAACTTGATCAAGTTTTCATTATAATTGTCAAGTCTATTATTGTAATGATTTTGACTCGAAATTTGACATTTCTATATTCTAAATTTACAATATTTAACAGAATTTTGATATTTTTTTCTAATTAATTTCCTCAAAATCCAATTAGAAAAACAAAACACACAAAACAATGCCCGGAAAACCGCAGAAACTGCACATCATCAGCATCCATTAACGC